CCACCACCGCGCTTGCAGGCAGTGCTGGCTCATGCGTAAGAGAAGAGCCAAAGGGGCAGTTAAAAAGCATTTTGTCTCAGCAGCCCAAATGCTCTCCAAAGGCTTGCTACGCTGTGCCAGTAGAAAAAAAAGAAAAATTGCCCAGGATCACACAAGATATACTTGCTTCTGATCTTGAGAAAGTGCTGGTGGTGTTTCTGTGGTAGTTTCTAACTACTATTTTTGTGTGAAAACCTGTTCATTGGGATGATGACTTCATGCAGTAGTCACTTAGTTCTCAAAGCTGTCTTCTACCCTGCAAATCACAGAATAAATGTGTGTCTAAGGAGTGAACTAATCAGCTAATGATTAAATACAAATGTGAGTAAATGGCCAAACCTGTGGTCAGGCTGAAAAATCACCTCTACAGCTGCAAATGTACTTTTAAAATACATATTCGGTTTTCCTTAACCCTTAACAGGTAGGAGTTTACCCTCAAAGTCAGTGCTTACCTGAACATACTTTGGTGATTCTCTGACTCTAATGTCATAGGCATTGAATAAAGAAATGCCTGCTTTGAGGCTAGAGGCACAACAGTAGCAAAGCCCACACATGCTAGCACTCAGATTAGAATTTTGCATAATATTCAGGATGGAAAACAAATCTGCTGCATATTTAATACTGAAGTGAAAGGGAATCTGTCAAAACTAGTATAAAGAAGCACTGGATTAAATCAAATACATTTGCAATTCTTCTGACAGAAAAAGTAGATTTAATCAAACAGCAATCAATCAACTGTATTATTAGAAAACAGGATTTTTCAGCTCTGGTTTAATTTCATGATAAGCTCCTGGTCTCTGCTTTGTGTTTGAGTGATGGTGTGATCTGCTGCAGAACCTCTAAGCTTCTCTTCACTGGTGCCTGGTGGATCTATCTACATGTGTGCACACATAACCACACCCGCATTCAATAATGATGAGTTTTGGGGTAGGGAAATGCGTTACGGTGTACAGATGACAGGACTAGTCGCTCGACAGAATCTACAGAACAGAGAATGGCAACCGAAAGCCACTATCAGAGGGTTTGTGTATCTGTTGCTGTATCCAGGGTGAATACTATCACAACCCTGCAAAACCTGTGGCTGCGACCACTCTACCCCCCCGAACACAGGTGAGCTGGCTCGGTAACTCAGTGCTTTTCCCAAGGCGGTTTCTCCCCGTCAGGACAGAGGAACGTACAAGGAAGAAGCTTGAATTGCTCCAGATCCTGCTGTAGCTACTTCAGTCTCAAAGAGAACATGATAAGGCTTGCTTCCAAACACCACTCAATTCCAATCAAACCACTTAAATAAAACAATCTCATGTTCAAATTTAGGATGAAAAAGAATTCAAGTGTGAGGTACTGCTGAAGCAAAGATTTCACTCCAAGCCAGAAATCCACTCATCAGAATTCAGTGCATCCCTCACATTGCGCAGCTGAAGTAGCAGGAAAGAATTTAAATGACACATTTAATATGGTTTTGGGGGCCTTTTTTTTTTTCTTCTTTATTGACTGGCCCATGTTTTTTTATGTGCCCATGTGTTGTGAATCTCCCGGTGATGGTTTGATGGTTTCACTAAAAAAACCTGAATTTCACCCTTTTCATCAGCTTATTGATACACACACTTCTCAGACACCCCAGGTTGGATTTTTTTTTTTTTTTTAAATTTACACCACCATGAGCCTTCCTTACACCAGTTTAAATTTCAATGAATGCCAAAGATCTACCTTAAGAGGAACAGTAGCTTGTTGGTGGGTACATATTTCTGATGGCAGAATATGTCCCTCAAACAATTATGTCTTATCACAACACTCACTTAAAATTTTACATCGAACTGTATCATGGGGCCCTTTTAAAATCCCCTCATTAATGATGATTATGTAAGTACTATTAGATGTGAGACATTCCCATATTGCTCGTAGGAGTTATGATTTAATTCTATTACAATCTACTCCACCATTTGTGTAATCACTCCTGACACTTTACCTTTTGTTTTGTAAAACATTGTCTGCTACAGAAAAAAACCAGACGATATTTTGTTTGTCATTGCAATCTGATTGGAAAGGTGTTATTAATTAAATGTTGTACACGGTTATACTTGAAAACTCACTGACAGCTCTTGGGATAAGACATATTACTGGAAGACAGTTGTTACTTAGGTCTCTGAGGCAACACAGAGACACTAATAAATCTCCCACACATTCCTGTGAATTAGGCAGATATTATTCAGCATTTGTGGGGAACAGTTTGGATTTTCTTCTTCTTTAATGGTGACTAGCATGGCTCAGTGTGGTCCGTGACTCTAGGAGCCACTATAAAGGAACATTTGCACTTGCCTTATCTCGGTGAGTTTGCAAATACACGGGGCGCAGAACGGAGAAGTCACTTCCCTCACAAGACACAATACAACGTTCTGGTTCGGTACCTAGGCCGAGCTTTTTGCCAAAAGGAGGAGGCAAAAACATTTTACCAGAGCTGGAATTTTCATTTTCTGTTTCTCACTCATTTATTTTTTGTCATCAGAAGTGTTACATGCAAAGAAAATATTCCTTTACAGGATAAATAAGTAGAAACAGATACAAAATTCCAACTGCCCGCAGGGAGAGCTTTGACCAAGTCCCTTAACTAGCAGCAAGTTTCCTTTCACAGAAGTTAAATTGGTAGTCCTCCTCACATTAATACTATTGTGCTTATCTTCTGAGCGGAGAGATGGTCCGTCTCACAAACAAAGAGATTTTTCAGAAATTATTATAATAAGGTATAATAAGGTATAATAAGGTATAATCCTGCCCCCCGTCCCCAGCATTTTCACTGTAGTGCCCATAGGCTTATACGGAATAGGGAATTTAATCAAGAAAGGGCTTTTGAAAGTTCTTACCTTGGACACAGAGGAACATAGTGAATTAAAGTTTCCTCCTCAATGTGCTCTTTGAGCTGGGGCTGTGGCTTCTGAGTGCTCTGAAGGTGAATGTGATGTGACTAGTGATCAAATTGCTTCATAAGGAAAAGTTCACCACAGTCAGGGTAACTGCTTAAAATGCAACATAAACAAACAGGTCTGTGTCAATATTTTGACTTTGTGTAAACAATTCAAGCTGTATCACTCTGGAGATAATGACACATAATGCTGCATCAAATGCTCTGAAAGGGTTTTACTGAATTAATCTGCATTTGAGTTCTGGAAGAAAATTGGTTTCTGCAGTGGAAAAATGTGAACTTCTGTGCTCCTCTTGAATATGATCATAACAAGGTCTGGAGCTTCCAGAAAGCATCCTGGGAAGGGGCTTCACTGCTACAAGGTAAATGGGAAAAGAATGATTTTCAGACCCTGCACTGTCTTTAATCCCGTTCACAGAGCTTCAGGAATCGGTGCGTATGACGCTCTGGAATACACGATTTTTCCCAGTAAGGATAAACAAAGCATTTCTTACAACTCTGACGCTACATCTCCGGGCAAACGCTCTTTCTCCTCTTAGCAACGTCACAAGTTCAAGTCAGGAAGGGCCAGTGATTGGTGTTTTAAAACTGCTAATAAAACTAAGGGAAAGCAATCTGTACATAGGAGTTTATTTAGATGCCCACAAGTTTTAAATCATTCCCCTTTATATCTCAGCCCACTGGATATCTCATCCAACTGAATTACCATTGGGGTTTACAATGTGATATACAAAATGAGCTGACATTATGATTTACAAACATCCTTTGAGTATCATATAAAACACAACTGTTTCCCTTATTATACAACCATTAGGGCAATGCAAATATAATCAATACATTAGTAGCTGAAAATGATGGGGCATTTTAAGAAAATAAATTTAACTTTATCACACAAACCTGTTAGATAAAACAAACCCTGTTTAAAAAATGGGAATAAAGTTGTCTGAATGATTGCAAGTAACTTTTATATTGTTTTGCCACTGTCCCCTTATAAGAAACATAATAGTACTTCATTTAAAAGACGACTAATTTTTTCACTGTATAGTCACACTTCATTCTTATTAATCAGTTTCACATTTTCTGCATGAAACTATGAAAAACTCACAAATGTAGACTTTCCAAACTGTAGCCACTATACTTATTTCTGCACTCTTTTCCATATACTCAGTGTGTTTAATTAAATAAACAAAAAGCAAAAAACACTACACAAATGAGCAGAACAAAACACAACAGCACGTTAAAAAGGTGACATTTAAGCTGTGGATGCCATCGTCGTAGAAATATATTCTTGTTCTAATGCCACAAACTTTCTAGCCTCATGAAAAAAATAGACATTAGCTGAGAGAATCTAAACTCTAACCTCGATGTAGGGCTAAAAGTTTTAATTTGTATTTCTGTCTAAACTTAGGTACTAAACAACACCGTGTGCATGGCAAATGTAAAACTCAATTTGTTTGAATGTTATAAACTACGAAAAGAAAAAATCTGTTTCTGAGCTCTTAACTGGGTAATGAAAGTTACCAAGTGTTAAGGTCTCCTGTCCCGCATGTCGCTGGTACAGGCGCTTCTGCACTTTGTCATTATGGTGGCAGTAACTGAGAATGGCAGACATCATTATTACTGCAAATACAAAAAAGGAAAAATTCTGAATTCATCAATGATGTTATAATTGAAAGCAAATTCTAACCTAGTCAATTTAAATTATATCATCTTAAGGCTCTCTGACTGTTTTACCACTGCACCACCCAGAGGGATTATACCCTTTTTCCAGCACTTGCAGTTTCTCTTGCAAAACAGAACGCTGATAATGACCGGTGATTCTTTCCTCAACACGTGTTGAACTGGCGGTGGAATGTGTTTTTAGTTCCATCTCTCCCTACAGGAGTCTTGCTGCTGCTCAGCATGTTTGGAGAAGAAAGTGCTTTTTTTGCCATTTCTTTAAGTTCATGGCATTTAATTTTATAAATTTTTAAGACAGACTTATTCTGATTACTTCCATTCTGTCCAATCAAATATACCTTTGAACGTTTTAAAATGTTGGACAGCTGTGAAATATAAGTACTATGCAATTTGACTGTACATACATACATATTTTCATAAATACATCTGACCGGGACCTTGGAACTAAGTACGTGATATCATGGGACAAAATCACAACAGGCTGTCTTATTTGTAAAATCTAGATCCAAAGTAAGAAGAGCTGAATTCTATCGTGTGGTCAATACACAAATTAAAACAAAAATACAGCATCAGTTTACCCATGAGATAATTTAAACATATTTGCAAATGTCTTGACAGGAAAAGTGTGTCATTTACAACACTGAAAACTTTTAACAACCATTGACTTATATGCGCTGTACTGTAAGTCACCCAGACAAGGCTAGCAAGGATGAGCATAGTGATAGGTCCCAAAGGCAACTCCCAAACATCTTCCTCGTGCGGAGACTTTGGTAATTGTCTGTTGTATAAAACGCCAACGCATACGACTTCATTTCAGGTGTTAACTTCATCAGTTTTCCTCCCTCGGCACAGTCCAGTCTGACTACGTCAGTTATTGTTGAGACACTCTAAATCCACCGAGCAGCAGACGTTCCCATTCTGCACAGACAAACAAGCAGGTGTCAATCACCTCCGCAGAACAAGTTACAAAGAGCAAAGGGGAGGGTGGCACGCAGAGGTAGATGCATCTCTGACGCATCTACCATGTACAAAAATCTGCTTAAGCCATCATCCCAAGGTGTCCTCATCGGTCCCAGCCGTGGTGGCTTTTTGAGGAGGTTGCCTTTGCCAAATAGCACAGGACTGGCCTGAACTACGCATGAACTGCAAACCTGGATGTAAAAGACTCAGTGGTGCCCATGATAAAATACAGCACAGCAACGGCAACAAAGATGATTTGATTTGTTTTCTCCCATGCAAGAAAGTTAATGGAGAGAGTTTTGATGTGATCCATGCAGGGAAGCTTTCTGTTTATCTGAAATAAGCAGGTAGTTCAGATTCTTCATTCATGGCAGGTATGTATGGGGTGGGGGGAGAAACCCAACCCATACAGCTTTGGAGCTTAATCCATTGTTAAATACCTTTCTGCAACATCCAGTCATTTACAAAAGTATCTTATATATTAAAAACTACAGCAACTATCAGACCCCCAAATAAGCAGATTTTTTCCTTTTTTTTTTTTAAATCCAACACAAACCAATAGGAAAAACTCTAAAAAATCACAGAAAAACTACCTTCAATAATTTAAAGCCCTGGGGCAACAGCTTGGTTTCCCACAGTGAACAGAAGAACATTTTATATATCCCAAACCAACATTTTCATAATTCTGATATTAGCGCAGTGGGGTCATCACTGCATGGAACAGGGGAGACAGATTGCATTTCTGCATTAGAGCCATTGGATCAAATACACCTTGATGAGATGAGGGAACAGAAACTGTGACATTCCCTTCCCACTTCTGTTGTGTGAGTGCCTTCATCTCTGAGCTGGAATGCATTTCTGCTTGTGTACTTGGTGGTGGAGCTTTTATTAGTGTTTTTGCCTCTGCTTACTAGCTCTCTAAAACACATTTTCATGAACATCCGCATTAGGCAATTACTAAAATGTTAGTCTAGATTCATACTGAGAAAGCCTGAAAGTCTCTCCGACAGAACATCTGAAAGTTGCACTACGATACTGCATATCTGTGCTCAACATTTTCAGCAAGGACAGAACTGTTTTGTTTCCACCCTGCAAAACACAAAAGGTGTGGGTTTTCTGCTCTCGGGTCTCATTTACTTCCCCAAGATCTGAATGTGAGCTTCCGAGGGCAGAAAGTGACCCTGATGTTAGGCAGCAACATCCATTTCCATCACCATTCTACCGTGCCCATCGTACCTTGCATTTGCAGGTTGTACAAGGAGATCCCACCATTGTCCATACAGCGCCGCTAAGTCTTGTAATTCCATAACCATCTAGACAGGTTTTCCTGATGTCGTAGGTGATGTTGTCAGCCAGACAGGGGTCACTGACACAGTGGGGACAGCACTCCCCTTCCGAGATGGCTGTGTACTCGCAGTTTAGATTCGGGCACAGAAGAGGCCAACAATCCACCTCTCCTTCCTGTAAAAATTGAAGCAAAGCTCGTTGAATTTGTTGCCATTTACTGGCT